ATTTAGATGAGCTATGTCAGATGAGTAATGGTGATATTAGTAGCGGTTTTGGAGAAGGAGAATGGCATTCTAAGTGGCTCCTATTAATACTTAGCCTTTTCTTCCCTATTTTCATTTTCCTGTGTCTTCCTGGAAGGGTCTCCATTTTTCAGAATGTGTTTGAGGAGTGTTCTGAGTATGTGGCTTCTGTCCACTATATTGTTTGGAAGGTCACACTTGGATCGTAGAAAACCCAGGGAGGTGTTGCTATGGCAAATATTCTGGCGTAATAATAATAAGCAAGGAGTAACGCTTTGCTATCAGCAGGTATAGAAAGGCAGCCCTGATTTAAGTTTCTTCTTTTATGAAGAACTGATTAGTAGGTTTGCAACTAAGAGATCAAAATTCTGATTTTGTTAGATGAGTGACAATATTTCAGAACCTTCTAGATGACTTTATACCTACTTGAGGGAGGCATTGGAAGCCATGAAAATGCCATGTGCCCTTCTAAATAAAACACGAAGTTCTGCATTCAATTTCCAACTTGTCTTCTACAGCCACATTCTTTCTTTAACAAACAAGATGTAAAAGATATTTCTGATAATGGCTGTCACTTTTGATATCATAATTTGAAACTTGTGTCTCAGGGGAGTAGTTTACATAAGGCAGGTAAAAACATTAAAACAAAATGACAGTTAAGTTGGGAGTTTTTGTTTTCAAGAATAAGGACTACTAGGAAATTCTATTAAGATTTATTTTGTGTATTCTCATAAATTTAGTATTTTGAATGAATAAGTATGTTTACTTTAAAAAGTAGGCAGGGTTTTTTGTTTGTAGCAAAGTTTCGTGTAATTGTTCCAATAGCCCGCCTCCCGAGATGGGGTGCCAGGTTTCTGGCTGGAGTGGAGCCTTGCCCTCCTTACCTGCTCTGAAGTCCATTCAAACTGGTAGACACCACAAAGATTCATTTTTCTATTTGTGAAAGCTGCGAAATATATTTTGAAACGTGAAACTCTTACCCTTCTGCCTCTCAAAGCTCTAGCATCAGAACTCTCAGCCCACATACAAAGTCGAGAAACTTCATCTGTCCTTATGCTACGAATCTTCAGAATAACCCTTTCTGTTTATGAAACAGAGCCTTAAAGCCAGTATTTACAGGCATGGTTGGTCAGACAATTAAATGAGTCACCCTCTCTACCTCATTTGTATTATTTGGATATTTATCTCAATTCCTGAGAGTAGACATGGTATTTGAGTAGATTACCTACTGAAAATACTTCTGCTGTCAGCTTGTTTTTAGAGGCAGCAAATCAGTTGCATCAAATTGGTCAATTGTGACCTATTTCTATTTTTCTTGCTGGCTCTTTATTCTATTTCTTGTGGTGCTTCTCTGATGGAAGTTTCTGGGCCATTTTACCTGATGAAAACATTTCTTTTTTGAAATTTGCTCCAAAAAGCACTGTAAGAAGGAAAAAGTGGTCCACTACATAAAGGTGTGATATATTCAGCAGGAGCCAAGTTATAAAGCTGCGAAGGAGAGAGGGGAGCACTTAGACATTTAAATGGCCAAGTTAAACACAAGACACAATTAGGATACCTGGACCCTCAGGTGTTCATAAACCCACACCGGCGCCTCTAGAGAGAAATGGGGGAAACCAGGGAGAAAGAGAGCCCCCAAAGAGCCTTGTTTAAGTTGGCTGTCGCAGTAGCTAACCCTTTGTAACTTGGCACATTTTGAAGTTATCACACTTATGATTGACCTTTTTCCTTTTTCCCATTTACCTTCTTTTGTACTTATAAAGTTTTTTTTTTTAAAAAAAGAAGTAATTTATTTAGAAATAGAATGAAGTGGCAAAAATTCAGCTCTCAATTTAAAGAAGAAATGTAAACTATAGAGTCTGAATGAAAAGGCAATGGATTTTAAGTCCATAACCTTTTGAAAGTCAGAAAACCTATCTATTAGGCTGTGTTCTCCAGTGGAAAAGCTCGAAATTGTAGGTGTTAAAAAAGCCCCCACAGGGAGCTTGTGCTAGCCCCTAAATTTAATAGAAATGTTAAACTCTCCAGTCCTTATTTAAACACATTTTTTTCCTTCTTTTTTTCAAAGTCAAAATATATTTTCTTATAGGTAGACAGGTGAAGTTTTTTATAACCAAAAAAAAAAAAAAAAATGTGGTTCTCTTATACTCCATGTGTTTTATTTCTTACAAAAATAACCATACCACTAGAGATTCAGTTTTGGTTTTGGAAATGATGTCACAGTAAGAAAAAAGCCCTGAATTTTGTATGAAAAGACAGTTGCCTTGAAATAGTGTAATAGTTTGCTTTTAATTAAAACTTACAGTATAGATCTTGCCTCAAAATTATTTTTAGATAAGTTAAGCATGATGCCTTTTTTAATAACTAGATTTTAACCTAAGGTAGTTTTAAAAGAAATACTAAGATACCTATATATCTGTATATGTATACATTTTTTTTTCATGATTGTAAGGGCAAAACGCTCTACTCATTGTGTGGCACC